CTTACATTCATAAATTTCAAAAAACCAATTTGGTGAATTAATTCTTATTCAATGCTATTCAATTTCTTTTATAATTTTCCTATAAGAATGTATAAAATAAGTGTTGGTGAAATATAGAATAGTTGGAATAGACCCGTAAAGAGCTAATCTGGATTTCTGGATTTGGTGGAACTGATTCAGTATTAATGGATTTTAATGTACCTGAAATCAAGCCACCTGTCTATAATCAAACAGTGTAATTGTAATTTAAATAATGCTAGTGTGGCTTGAGAGTAAAAAAATTTAAATTGTGGTAGGAACAACCTGACCTTCAACTTCCAGGCAATGATGTCATCATTTGTAATTACAGTCTCTTGATGCATAGGGAAAAGACTAATATTCACAGGCAAATTGTGTGAAGCACTAGTGTGACCATTGCTGTAAATATCGAGTCTGCTTCTAATGTAAATATTTCAAAAATTAGGAAAAGTAGCAAATAGAATTTTAAGAAGCATTAAGATTTGGAGATTAAGATTAAGGTCTGGAAACGCATTTAATCCTATGAGAAATTTAAGAATCACCATCTCTATTCATATGTCTGTGAGATAGTGGTAAATGTGATCGTGATAGCATTGCAACACTTTCTGCCTTTTAAAACCTTGTGTGCTGAACCAATCAAGCAGCTGACCAACAAAGGAAATTAGTAAGATTTGCCAGGATGTAAATCAGCATAGCTATTTTTATAGCCCACATTAGATGAGTCCAGTCAATCTAAAACCTGAGTTTATCTAACGTTTTAAAAAATTATTTTGGTTATTCTGGACATAAAAATCATAACAGAGTGTATTTTATTTATCCTATCCTATTTTCTTTGCCCTGAAAAAAAAAAAAAGGAGGATGGAAAGTCCTCAGTAACCATTTTTAAAAATCAGAATAAACTCCAATTACATAATCTTTGTGACAGTTTCTCATGTATGATGGAGGCAGGAAATAATATTGTTAGAGCATGCTGCAGTTCAGTAATTTTTAGCTGCCAGATGATCCCTGGAGCCTGGCATTATCTCACATGTACAGAAACATCTCTTAGCTTATTGCAACTTGAGCCAGGAACTAGGAGAGAATGACAGCCAAAAATACTTCCCTGTTGGATCCATCTGTAGCACCTATCAGAAACTCAGCATGAGAGCTAATCTTTTCAAGGTAAATTTGGTAGGTTCTCAAGTTTCTAGGTTCTTTTTGCCATTAAATATTTCACTGAAACTTACAGTATTACCATTATGGTTACCCATAGGGGAAAAAAAAAAAAAAAAAAGTTTGTTTTAGTTTTGTTACCAAAGAGAAAAGAAAATTAAAACATAATTATTATATAATTTAATTACAAAAGAAAATATATTCAAATCTATTCTTAATGAAACCATGAGTACTGTATACATAACAGAGAAGTCTCCCAAATTGGTTGCAGGAGCTAATTTGATGGTGATATTCTCTCTCTCATGGAGCAGACCCAGGTAGTAAATCATTATTGGTTGCCTAATGGGAAGATCCTACTGTGAAAATAAACAGCTGTCCACAATAAAGAAACTGTTTACAAGAAACCATTACATGTCAGACACTTTATTCCCTTGAGAAAGGAGTGAAGGCATGGAATACTGAGCAGTTGCATTTTTTCTGTGATGTTTATGTCAAAGAAAAAATATTTGGACTTTTTTTTGCAAAGCTTTATTTTTAGATTTTAAAAGCATGATCCTTTTTTAGTTTACCACTTTATTTTGCTTGGAAGGAAGGAGTGTAACTACTCTTCTTTGATATTGCTGCATATTATGTATGTTCCTGAATTGGTTATATTTGTATGCACACACTGTAGCTGGGGAAGTTTTTCTCAGCCATATCTAGTGGGGAGATGTAACAGCCCTGCCTCCCCTCATGATTATGTTTCAATAAATGTTCATTCCAAGACTGTCATTCCCAATCAGTTCAATGCTTCTTACGTAGAACTGTATCTAGGGGCAAAACCTGGTCTTCAGTGACCTTATCATTGAACAGGGTCAACACGAAGTATTTCCTGTGGAAAGACCAAAATCTTTCTCATTTAACTTGACCCTTCTGTTACCCTCTTCTGTATATTTAAAGTGTGGGCAAACTGAGCTGAGGTGACTATCAAGAAGGCCTTAGAAAAAGAGTGAAATGGTGGGCAGAAAACTTTATTCGTTAAAACTGTATTTGTTAACATCAGCACCAATCTGTATTTCTAACTATCTGTCCTGTGAGCGATGCATCTTTGAAGATACTTCTGCATCTTCAAGACTTCCTGATTTCACCTGCAAGGCTTTCATGTACTAAATAGTTAAAGGCAGCTGTGCCTAAGTACAGTCACGCAGGCTTCACAGTGATAGAAGCACAGGGACTGCTGAAGGACCAGGGAGTTTGTGTTCTTTGTAGGTTTAGCTGTTTGTTTCTCACACCAGTAAGTAAATAAGTGCACCAAGTAGACTTAGCTAGACTTGTGTGGAACATTTGTCACTCTAGAAGTTATTTCTTAGCTTCCTAGATGGTGCCTGTATTACCACATGTCTTGGCAGCAGTATAGTCCCTTGTTTGGTATCTCTGCAAACACAGTGCAGGGTTCTCTCAAAGCAAGTCTGTGATTCCTCACTCAGGGAGGTTCATTGATGATTACCTATTGGTGAGTCTGTATATAGAATGAAAGAAGATGATATTTCATATTCTGGAGTAAAAGAGGATGAGACTTTCAGCTCAATTAAGATGCTCCTAATACTCATATTTAGCTGTCATCCTCACTATGAGATTTCCAAAGGGTATGGCAAGGCCTTCATGGGGTGTCTTCTTGTCAAATCCCTGTCCCTCGTTTAATGAGCTTAGTCTTTCAAATCACAGGATACTCATTCATATGCTGCACATGAACAGTTTTACAGTCAGAAAGCAGGTCAGACAGTAAAGCATAAGAAAGAAAAGGCTTTCTGGAATGCCATCCAAGTTCTTCCATGTCAGGGATGTTGTTATGAGGATTCACATTAAGTTCCTTTCTAAGGCTGGATAAAAATTTGTTCGTGTCATCTTATTAACACACATGTATTACTTTCTGAATTACGTTAATTCAAATCCAAGTTTTCTGTGCACACTTGCAATGATTCAGGAAGAGCCCTTTTATGTGTTAAGACTGCAAACCTAGAGGACCAGCAGTTTTGATGAGAGATTTTTCAAAAAAGTTGGAATTGTCTGTTTCTATGACAGGGAGGGTTTACTCTGCCAGATGTCATGCAGTATCTGAGGTTATCTACAGGATGCCTCCATTTTGGATGTCTGCCAAAGTGCCACCTGAACTCTCCTTTACACTTTCATTAAGTGTAACAGTATTGCAGAAACGTTCCAGCCTGATACTTGTTTAAGAAGAACAGTTTGTTGGTCTGTATTTGACTAGAAACTTTAAGAACTAATCCAGATATGTAGTGTTTCTGCAGTGAGTATTTCTTAGAATCATCCATGCTGTAAAAGTATCTGTAAATTGAAAGGCTATAGCGTTTATGTTCTTGCAACTATTCCTCTTTATCATCTGTTAGCTACATTAATGTAACTGGGTATTTCCTTCCCTTTGATATCTCTGTTACACTTCCAAAAGTTCTTTCAGGTCAGTAGGACTGAGAGGGAGACACTTCTGCTATTGCTTTCATGGAGGCATTTGTGACTTTTGCACATGGAGGAGCTTGTGTGTGTTCCTGCAGAAGTTGGTTAGGCAAGACTTCTCCACCTTACAGCACTGGATCTGCTTTTGTTTATTTGGAGTTTGGGTTTTTCTAGAGTGGATTTTGCCCACAGAGTGAAAGCACATATTGGAGATCCACCTCAATTACAAATAAATAGGCTTTCTTCTGTGCACTCTGCAGGCTGTCAGTTGAGGCCCATGGGCATGAGATTTGAATGTAATCACTGTCTTAATGCAGAGCTGCAGGTGTTATAGCACATTTAGGAACATGGAGCACATGTCTTTGTGACCTATGAAGAAAGGTACTCTATAAATTCGTAGACACTGTAAAAATCACCGTGACCATGCACAGGCAATGACATTTTTCCCAGAATCTGAACTAAAGCATTTTTTTAATAATACAGTTCTAAAGGCGTGAAGTAATGTGGAGCTTTTCGCCTCCTGCTAAGTCATTCTGGTGCTTGGTTACTATCACAGCTGGGAAGCTGTGCCTTATTTCATATTCCTCTCTATCCTCTGACCTGATTTTCACTAACTTTACATTGTTCAAACAGCGCTAAGAACATTTAGAGAAGGTAAGAAGGATATTTTAAATCCCTTTAATGGTCCTTCACAGTGCCATAAAGTGGTAACAGCATCACAAAATATGTCAAACAGCAGTTTCCCATGTACCTGCAGGTATGTAGACATTTTTAAGCCAGCTGTAGGTTATCTAGCTGAGATATTGCTAGAAAGGTAGCTTATTGCAGTGCAGAGCTCTATGGAGGATCCAAATTTCATCTGAGAGGCTGAGTATATTTTCATGTAATTAATTCTTGCTGATCAATTACGTTGCTCACAGTATACAGGAATGTTGTCACTGATGGCTATTAGCATGCTCTAAGTCTATGATCTGTTTATATAACTTGTTGAACTGGGTCCTATGTGTTAGGATTTTCCAGGATGAGATATGAGTTACATTATAAAGCTCCCTTTCAAGTCACACCTGTTACAATGACAGCACTTGGATTCACAACCAGTAATTCAGGGTAATGAAAGTAAAAATATTTATGTTTGGTTTGTGCCTCAATTTATTTAGGTATTAAGAGAGTGCTGTATCCTGCCTTAACACAGAATGAATGTATGAGCTGACAAAATAAGTGTAGATATGCAATATATTCCTTACCAAATACATTTAAATTACAGTAGGTTTTTCAAGTTGAAATAGTGTTCCAAGTAGCATTCTGTTTTCAAAATAATTTTTTATTTTAAAATGTATGAAGTATTTGTAAGTTCACATAAATGCTATTTTTATTCACAGATAATGCACCTCAGGTAGCAATTACCGCACCAGGATCTGGTAACCATAGAAACAGCTCTACAGGCCCAACACCTGACTGCTCTCCTCCATCACCAGACACTGCACTTAAAAACATAGTGAAAGTTATACGTCCTCAGGTAGGTGATCACCATAAGCATCCTCTTATTAGTTGTATTTTTCATTTTAAAAGCAGTCTATGATGCATGTATTCTAAGAAGATATTATCACTATAGACATATGAATAGGTCAAAGATAGATAAACAGAACACAAAATATTTTTTGTACTTAAGAAGCAATCTTGATAGCAAGAGAAAATAGAATATTTTATGAATGAGCTCAACAACATGAAGAGAAATATCAGTACATTTTTATTATGACATTAATGATGAGTTAAGTGTTTATGTAATATTTTGTATTTTTTTTCTACTATTAGTTTTCTTCTAAGTTTATGTTCTCTTTTTATCAATATTGATTCCCTGTTACTTTTTCTGGTTTTCTTTCCTCTTTCTGTATCTCCATTTACATGGTCCCGTAATAGTTCATACCTTCTTTAGTTTACTGTCTTGTATAGTATTGCTTCTCGATTTTCATCCTTTCTAACTGTTTATATTTCTAATACTGTTTGGTAAACAAGATACTTAATGCATGGAAAACTTCAGTGCGCTTTGTAATTTTTTAAGGGGTACAGCCTTTAAAATAAAACCTTTAAAATAAGTAGATCTTAGAACTTGAATCAGTAGTATAGAAGTAATCAGCATACAGGAGTTTATTTTAGAATCGCAGGACCATAGGATAACATAGGTCAGAAGAAACCTCAGGGGATTATCTAATTCCCTGTTTAAAAAGGCATGACATTAGGTGTGCCAAAGCTAGCTGTGACAATTACACACTGAGTTGACTAATGTTGCAACTTTTTTGGTGTGAACGGAAAGAACTTCTGTTCCTGTCCTACCAATTATTGGGTTCAAATGAAGCCATCTGTTGTTCATTGCTGAGCTGATCTCTGCAACGGAGCCACGTTGATGCTAGTGGATGAAGGCTTTGCATCATCAGTATATTGTTGACATTTGTTTTCCTTAAGAAGTAAGCTGATGGATACATGGTATTTTGGTAAGAATTATATAGGACAGATTGTTTTGGTGCCATCCAAGTGAATGTTACAGGGATGGAGCTGGATATTCCTTTCAGTATTCATTGGAGCACACAGTTTGGAGGGTCTTGCAGAATTAAAGGTAATTACTAGATGTACCTGCCATTTCTCTCCAGGAGCCATTAGTTTCTTATGGCTGACACTGTCAATGCGCAAATATTCTGATGCAGGCTATCCCTCTTTGATACTACAGTAGTTTGGGTTCCACGTGCTGGTTTAAATCTAGATTGCAGGGGGGTCTAAAATAACAGCTTCTTCTCCTTTTCTCTTTTTATAGCTGTTTCTCGTTTTGCTTATTCCTGTAGTCTCTCTGTCCCTCCCACCCTACATCAGTATAGTACTGAAATGCCTCCTTCCCTCTAAGCTGTTTTTATAGTAGGCGGCAAGCAAACAGAAAGGTATTGGAATATTGTTGGAACAAGCTGTTGTGTGATAACTTATTGAAAATAGCATTTAAAGAGCTGTTTCCATCATGATATTGCCAACAGATGGACCCAGAACACTGAATGGTGATGTTCTCCTGCTAGTTAACTCTGAATGGTTTCATCAGATTCTGGGGAGCTATTTTCAGATTTAAATCATACCATTTACTGACTCCCAGTATTCTCATCATTCTGCAGAACAAAAGCTAGATGTGTGATATATATGGTCAGAACTATACCTCATTTGCTAAAATTTCTCTCGTGTCCCTACATGTGGCATATTTCCTATGCAGAAAACAACAGCAGAACGGCGCATGTAGGCTAGTACTTAATGTATGTTGTAAATCTCTGCACTAATACACAAGAAGTTGAATACACTATAGCGTTCAGATCCCACTGTATTTTATTCTCTATGTGTTTTATGCACATTCCTTCAGTATTCTTCCTTTTTTTTGTTTTTGTTGCTTACCTAATCACCTCCCCTCAAGATCTCTACACAAGAATTTAGACAAAGAACTTGTAGATATTTGCAATGTGATGTTTGAAAATCATTAGTGTTAATTCTGCCTGCATATTTAATTCCTTTATTCCATGCCTGCTGCATTCAATTACATGCCAAGCTCTTTGAAGGTTAACACAATGGGATTCTATTCTTGACTGACCTCTCAGCACTCATGTAAAACTAATGAAAAGTGTTGCACAATGCATGCAAAATAATTACATTTCTGTTGTCTGACAGAGCCTCTTTGCATTTTTCTAGCAAAATAAACAGATTTTAAGCAGATCTAAACTAGGGATCATATAAATTTCCAAAACAGCTGTCACTCCTTTCCCCTTTTCATATGTTTTGTGCATCCAGCACAGAAAGGTGCCAATGAAAGGCAGAATGGGGAACTTTTCAGTAGCTAGTTTTGCACTAAGCAGGCTCTGGTAGTTTGGATGAAACTGCCAGGAAAGTCTGGCCTTTCAACTCTTACTGTTATTTTCATTTATAGCCTTAATTACCTTTCCTGAAGGGTTGTGTGTATAACAGTTTACCTGCAGTGAGGAAAACCACTTTTTCTGTGTAAGCAGCAGCAGAGGGGACCAAAGATTTCTTCCTCCCACCAGTCTGGTGAGTGCAGGCAGTGTCAGAGAGTGGAAGAAGACAAACCTGGTGGGCTGATTTTGAAGGCAGAGGTGGAGGTCATTCTGCTTCCTGTTTTCTTCGGAATTTCTTTCCAAGACTGCATGCCAGCTCACATGATGGCAGTGCATATATCTGCTTCAGGACATGGCAGATTTTGAAGATGTCTGTATGAATGTGAGGTTTAGCACAGCAGAGTGGCACACTCCGTCCTGGTCCAGGTGGTCATAGCACCTTAGCTATGGCCTCTACATGTGATCTAGAATTTTTCAAATAAATATCTTGTTTTCAAATTTTCACAGGGTCAGTCTCTGAAAAAGAGGGTTTGTTGAAAAGTGGCATGTATGCAGATAAGAACCAAACAGAACTTATGTCAGGGTTTGAATCACTTGATCATTTTTTTTCCAGATTGTCTAGAAAAGTTTTAGGAAGTTTTAACTCAATAATTGCTAATTAATGAAGACTTTGAGAAAGTAGTACAGTTTCAAGTTAAAGACATATACCTTTGTGAAGTGGAAGAAAAAATGAGACGTGGTACAAGACCAAGTAGGTTGATAAGTTACCTAAAGTCCTCTGAAATTTTAGGCTCTCTTTCAAGTTTTAACTCAGTTCCATTAGTACATATAGTAAAATATAATTTCTCTTATCAGACTGGAATTTAGAGAGTGATAGTAAAATAGAGCCTGTTCTACCACAATTCCTATAGCTCTCATTCTGGATGAAGCCTAAGCAAAATTGGGCTGCATGTAATGCTTCATATATTTTTTGTACTAGCTACTCAATTTAATAAGGCTCTCCTTATTTATTTGTTCAGCTTCATTTGAACAAATAAACTATATACATAGAGGGAGAAAGAACACCTTTTTTCCTAAGAGACGTTTTTTTTTGCTGGTGCTATTCACTTGTCAGTCATTGGCCAATTCTAATAAAATTGAATTCTGACTTCTCACTTTTAAAATTCTTATTAAATGTAATTCAGCATTTCCATATTCTCTTCTTGTTTTTCTAAGCAATGTTTCAAATGTCTAACTGTAGGTACAGCTTTTGATGTCTAAATGTGGATTATTTGAAAGTGACTTGGATTTTATCTATCATTGATTAGTATTTTCCTCTTTTTATGTGAATAACCCAACTCCCTAGGAGTGTTGTTTCAGTGATATAAAGAGGGCTTCTGATAGCAAGACAAAGGAACAAAGAATTTCAGTGTATCTGACAGTGAATCTATTCATTATAATATGATTTTTTTCTTGTGGGTTTGGATGTGCTGTCTTTACATTAGTCATTTTTTATATTTTTCTTTTATAACCTCTTTAAGAGAAGTTACAAGTCCATCTATGGTTCATCATTCCTCTGACTAAAACATCTAGCAATATAATAGAAGATAATAGTTTAAACATTAGAGGACAAAAGAAATTGCCTCGTTTTTCTGCAAGTGATAATGAAATCCTGCAGGACATCTGTAGCCTCTGATAGACCTACCCAGTGAGCCTGGTGGACCTATGTAGATGTAGTTCATTTAGGCATAGGGGAAGACAGGGACTATGTTGAGGGACCATGATGTTTTACCCCCTACAGCAGTCTAGACATGAATGGACAGACCAAGCATAGGAGATATGTGCTCCAGAGCCTCTCTGACCTAAAAAGTGATAGTAATTTGCATTCAAGGAAATTATATCTCATCCTTTTTGCAGTCAGGTGCAGCAATTACTTTGAACAAAAACAAACAAACAAAAATCTTAGAGGCAGATCTGGAAAATCATAGTTCCAGAAAATAAATTTTCAGAACTAATTGTTCCATAAACAGGATTTTCAAGTGGATTGTGTCACTATTTCCCCATGGTGATATAACCCTGGTTCCTCTCCTATGCCAACAACCAACTGCAGTACCCTTAGTTCTTTCCAAATGAAATGTAGCCCTTGTCACAGTTAGCTTGAGTTGGCACATGCCTGTGTCTGCAAACTTGGAGAAATCTCCACTGCAGGCTGTTGCACCAGTGCACAAATGCATGAGAATTCTGTGATACATCTACTGAACTTGTTTTGCAACACAAAAAATCTGCTTTATTTTATCATAAAAATGAGGGCTGGAGAGCACAGTTATACAATAAATTCTCACCACTCATTTTCAAATGAGATCACAGGACAGCTGGGGTGTAAGGACCTTCTTTCTCCTATAAACAGCTTTCTGTGCTCAGCCCAAGTACAACATGCTCAGACAGACAGGGAATAACCAGCAAAATCATCATGGAGAAATAGTGCAGGCACACTAAACTTCCTGTTCGGGTGCACACTTCTTTTTTCTGGTGTATTTTTGTGCTGGACTTTGTGCAACCATATGTAGTGACCATGTTTAGCACAAGAGGCAAATAAGACTTAAAAAAGACTGAGAGTTAAGATTTTGTAGGGGATGAACCCCTTCATCTCCAAGGTAGAAGCCAC